GCCTAGACTTTTTCACACTTGGGTCAACTCAAATTAAGCAAATCTGCCAAACGAACTTAAAGTTAATATTTTAAAATCGGTAATGGCGGCAGCTATTCCATTTGTAGTAGGAAGGCTGTAGGGACCTCGAACCCACTGATTATATAAATTGGCAATTTTTGCTCGAAGGATACTTGTGGTTGCTTTGGCGGTCGGTTCAAATTACTTTCTGAGATACGAATATTACTGGAAAATTGCAGAAACACTGCCAACCGGAAACATAATTCATAATGAACTTATTTAATACTAATTATAGCTGTACTCACTCAAAGCCCACCTTTACCATGTCAGGAATCTAAAATTCAGATATTTCTAGAGCATTAGATAATTACCTCCAGATTTCCGAGCTTTTCACTGTTCCCAGGAGGCAACTCGGACCGTCAGGCATTAAACAATTCATTGTCACCTCAGAATAAATAAGCTTTTCTCCGAGATTACAATCCTGAATGGATTTTAGCAATTGGCTGTCCCACTGTTCGACGACCAGGCGTGAGGCGTCTCCTTCAAAGAGTGGAGACAGCACGAACTGTTGGAGATCGGTAATTGCTCTGCCGTAACCATAAAAGACTATATAGTAGAGGCTGAATTTGCCACCATGGATGAAAGCGATGAAGTATGCGAGAAAGCCGTCTAGCTGCCGAACATTGCGACCTTGAGAGATTCTCCGAATGGGCCCACACAGTTGCCCTATGAATTCAATTGATCCGAGGCCGTACTTAAGGACCAGTGTCCAGAAGCCCAGACGAAGAACAGTTAATAAAATCTGGGGAATGCTCACAGTGCGCCTTACAGTTTCCCCTTCTTGTGAGGATGGGCATTCTTCGTCCAAATGGTGACGATTCATAACCATAAACTGAAAGTAGTAAGGTATGCAAACAGGAATTATAAAAACGTGATATAGATGGGTAGTATTAAATGCCCACGCGTTATGGCCTATGCGCTATAGCATTTTCCTTTAAAAAATTAATAATGGGTACTATTTGAATGACGTTAGTACGTCTTTTAATTTATTTTAAC